ACAAGCAAGTCATTAACTTATTCTACAGTGCAACTATTGGAAGCCTTCTTAATTTCAGTATTACCTGCTGATGTGGGAACTCAACGTCTGATATTAAACACCGCATCAACCGACTAATCAAGAAAGCTAGAAACATAACACAAACTAAACATCCTTCACTTGAAGAGCTATTTGAAGAAATATGTTTTTGTAAAACTAAACACATTTTGGATGATACATCCCACCCTCTTCATCCCAGATACTTAGGATCGGGCCGTTCGGGACGAATTCTTGCCATCAGGGTGAGAACTGACCGATATAAAAAGTATTTTGTTCCTCAACCTATACGAATTTACCGGCGTGTTTCCTCTGAAGTCACACACCTGAATGAGAACTAATAAGTCCCCGATTTGGCTAAGAGAACTCAATGAATGGCTGTTTGAAATACTGTATTATAAATGTCTTGTGTTCAAATTGTTTTATTTTTTTGCTGAAAATGTATAATGCAATCAATAAAACATTTCAATCTGTTTGGATCACTAAAAGAATCTTATCTTATCTTATCTTATCGTCTAGTGATGTCTAAATATTAGTACTTGAAATCCTGCCTATCTTTCTACAAAGGGACGTTGTCTTGCTTTTTTATAAATAGTGAAATATGTCTGTTTTTGAAGCAAAATATGCTAAGAATGGTAGGCATGCGTCAGCAAGCTGTGTCACACATGAAGGTCATATGTTTACTATTTGCGCTACATACTAGTTTAGCGAGACATTAAGTACATCATATTATGTAAATTACAATACTCTTATAGACATTAACAAGGGCTGGCAGTGCCTTTAAAACTTGATACATCTCCTCCTCACAGGTTGTCTATTTATATATAAATGTATTGATATAATAAAGTTATTTTCCATTCCTTAAAGCTAATCTTCTTTAAGAATATGCATTTTAAATATGTCTATAATTTAAGGATTAAGGCTATGAAGTACTATTTGTTTCTGTTCGTTTTGCCACAAGAGTAAAAAAAAAAGTATAAATAATCTCTGCCTAGAATTATCTGATTCAAAAAAGTACCATGTAATATTCATTTACAGGGTTATTATTTTAACTTAATTAGATACATGTGTCTTGATTTAACAGAGAAATACAAATTAGGGTGGCAAGTTAGTGTTTTTAACAATTAGTGAGACACTTCATTTTAGCAACACAAACTAACACCTTATTTACATGGACATTGTCACCTTGCATTTGAATCAATTATTTTGAAGATTTTTTTACTAACAATTATTTTCTTTTTCATGAGGATATGAAGAGTTCCCAAATCCACAATTCCTGTTACAACTCCAATGACAACAGCTACTATAACACCACTGAAGACTTTAGTAAATTCTTTCCGTTCATCAGCAAGTTTTCAGCCTACTAGCCCCAAAAACTTCAAGTGATGATGTAAAAAGTTTTGAATGATTTTTTTTATATAAAAAAAGTCATCACAATTTAAATGTGTTGCTCAAGTATGAATGTCCATGATAAGGTTACGTGTGTAATCACTATTTTCTTCTTTTCCCACATAAGCAAAGGAATACTTTATTGAAATAAAAACAACAAGTAATTATTCAGCCATCATTTTTTTTTTTAATCATCTTTATTATCTGAATGTAAGAAGCATTTAAAAGTGGGATATTCTCAGAAACGTTGCAAAAATAAATGTTTGAAAGAATATGTTTTCTACGTTAGTATCTACCAATAAAAAAAGCTAATAAAATCTGTTGTATTCATTTTTTTTTTTCATTATCGTTGCTCTGAGTTTACGAAGCTTTTCTTTGATGGGACGTAATGATAAAAATATCAATGACTTATGACAAACACATGAATCAATATGACTCTGATGTATGCACTTGTTAGCAACTGCTTTCCATCTCTTATACGTATAACACTTGAATAATGCAAAATTACTTTTTTTTATCTTTAGATAGCAGTGGTCTTTCAACTGTTGCACAATATGGACGGTGCATAATTAATATGCACTTTTTTTTTTGCTTTAGATAGAAGCAGCCTAAAAATATTTCACCATAGGGAACCTAAATAATCAATGAGTTTATATTTACCTTTTGATAGCATGAGTCCTTCAACTGTTAACACTTTCATATCATCTTATCCTTCATCATCACCATAGCATCAGTATTTAAAATGCTATGCAATAATTGGTTTGAATTATTTGAGAAGCGGATGGATGATAAACATGTTTAAAAATAATGTTATAGATTCATATTGTCTTTTTGTTCCATTAAACATATCTATTTAAAAAATTTAAATGCACTAAAACCAAATGATAAAGTATCATACATGTTTTTTTTAATACCCTACTTATCATCTAAAAATAAAAGGAATAATCTGTTTATATATTGTAGCTTAATTGCATTTATTTCGAATTGCACAAACTCGAGGTATTCATTATGTTTGTTAGTCGGGGTCTTTTTAGTTTTGAGCGTTTTATTTTTAAAAAAATATCTTTTGTCACCATGAAAGTAAGCAACAATTTCAGCTGCCATAAATTATATAAAAATAGGGTTGATACGAAAATAAAGGCGATGGAGATGAGATGCTTCAGAAGAATTTATGGCATCTGCCATAGGGACAATATCTTCAATGAAACAGTGAAAGAATGGGTTCGCCAGGCAATTTGGGAATATGATGACCTACTGGTGACTGGGAAAAAACGCAAACTACAATGGTACTGCCACGTAATATGGAAACAAGGGCTTGCCAAAGAAATATTGCACGGCAGCACAAGAGGAGGTAGAAGAAGACGAAGACACAGAAAAAGATGGGAGGAAAACATAAAAAAGTGAACAGGACTAACACTGGACGATGCTGTGCGTAGTGCATAAGACATAGTCGAATAGAGGAGGCCAACAGATCCAGCTACAACAACTCAATCTGTTAGCTGAGTGGGAGATGAGCTCGGGCATGGAATTTCAGTCTGCCAAGTGCCAGACACTATCTATCTCTAGAAGTTGTACTCCTCTACACTACCAATACCAACTGCACGGCCATATAATTGAGCAAGTTTCTTCCGTAATCTACATGGGTGTTACCATTCAAAGAGAAGCCCACTGGGACGAGCATATTAACAATGTATGTAACCAAGAAAACAAGACCCTAGGGTTCTTAAGACGAAATCTAAAGATTGGCAACTCATGTGTGAAAGAAAGAGCATATAAAGCCTTTATCCGTCGGATTTTAGATTATGCATCTTTAGTCTGGGACCCATTTACCCAGAGGAGCATTGACAGGTTGGAGGCCGTCCAGCGACGAACAGCACGCTTTGTCCTAAACCGCTAAAGGACTACCTCTAGTGTTGGCAGCATGCTGGAAACACTAGGCTTGTCACCATTGGAGAAACGACGACGACAATCCAGGCTCTCCATGATGTACAAAATAAATAATGAACTGGTCCACTGTCCCGGTTTTAAACAGAAACTCGTCCCTCTTCCCCCATAGACAGTGACAAGGCCATGACAGGCAATTCAGGCTCATACCAGCAAGAGGCCAGTATAGGAGCTGCTCACTCCTGCCCAAGACAATCAGGGACTGGCGCAATCTTTCAAAAGCAACGGTTGAGGCGACAACACTAGATACATTTGTTTCTATTGCCTCAAGCCTTCAAACCCCTAGTGCATGATCCCTCACAAAGTGGCACTGGAAATTTGTGAAATTTCATCATCAACACCAGGAACAGAAACATTACATATCCCATCTACATGCATAGGAGCCAAAATGATCAATAAATTTACCGTGGGCCCTTAAGATATAGAAGAAGAAGAAGACATTTTGTGATCTTGAATATGTCAGGTGGACACCAAATGGTGTCAGCATGAATGTGTCAGGTGGAGACCAAATGTTGCCAGCTTGAATGTGTCTGGTAAAGATCAAAGTGTGTCAGCTTGAATATGTCAGGTAAAGACCAAAGTTTTGAGTATGAATATGTCAGGTGGAGACCAAAGTGTCAGCTTGAATGTGTCAGATGAAGACCAAAGGTTTGAGTATGAATGTGTCAGGTGGAGACCAAAGTGTGTGAGTATTAATGTTTCAGGTGGAGACCAAAGTGCGTGAGTATGAGGGTGTCAGCTTGAATGTGTCAGGTGGAGACCATAGGGTCTCAGATTGAATATGTCAGGTGGAGACCAAAGGGTGTCAGATTGAATGTGTCAGGTGGAGACCAAAGGGTGTCAGTTTGAATGTGTCTGGTGGAGACCAAAGGGTGTTAACTTGAATGCAGATATGACGCATACAATTCATAAAATATCTCAGAAGAATTCATTTTTAGTTATACACACACGCCCTTGGCCCTACACATTGTTCGTTATAAATAGATAATACGACTTATAATAATAAAAAAAATATTGATTCAAACAGAATTACGCAAGAAAGAGATAGACATTATTTTAATTTTTAAATGTCATTAATATGTTAGTATAGAATAATGGGTTAGAAAAAAGTTTTTCTTGTATTCCGCTTTTTTTGTTGTCCTGTAACAGTGTGCAGCACTTATTGCGTTTTGATGTCTTTGGCACCCAATTACAAAGTTTTGCCTCACTCTTCCATTATACATCGTAAATGTATTGTACAGTCAGCTTTTCTGTGTTGAAGAACTGGTTAAAGTTTCCATTACGAATGGCAAAGTGATATGTGTAACATTGAAGCTAGGACACATCTCCTAGACCAAAATTTTTCTTCAGATCTATGATACGCCCTGAATCCCTATATGTGAAAAGCAAAGAGTAGCACATAGGGTCACAGAGTCTACCTATGATGGATATATCTTTGTGAAATTCATCTTTTCAAAAAAAAAAAAAACGAATTGTAATGTTCGGACTTTCTGTGGTGGAACCAACCGCACTGTGAAAACGTCATCAAGTTCTCGTCTATCGGTGGCACTTGGGTTCTAACGGGATGCACAAACGTAACTTGTTACTAATACAGCTGTAATAAAAATTTTGCATTCTGACGTGCTTTACGTTGGAGGTCAACATTCCACAACGGCTGGCACTTGAGTCGTGACGCATTGTTATCTCGTCTAATAGGTTGAAAGTCTAAGTGATAGTCCAGACAACATTAAAAAACGAATATATTTTTAAAAACAGAATTCCGGTTGACGTACAAACAAGGGCGTGATTTAAGCACAAAATGAACCTATAAAAGTGTGTTCAACGTCATTAAAAATAGTTGAGATTTAGCGTCAAGACAAGGCAATTATGGTTAAGTTTACACAATACGACCTGCGAATTGTTTGTGTCAGTAATTAATAAAGAATTAGTGGAACAACACAATTCAACAACTCCTACTAAATAGGGTGAGTACTTCGGCTTTTTTTTTTTTATTTGCAATGATCGCTGCTTGTGGGACTTGTTTATTATGCACGCTGTCACGGGTTTTAATTAGGTTAACAGATGTTTGCCTTCGAGGCCGATAATTCAAGGGGGTTTTTTATAGTCAACGTTAATAAAAACACGATTTATTTTAATATCAATCATAAACCATGATGTATTAGATCAATAAATCTGGATCTACATTAAGTATTATGAACTACTACTCAAGCAAATTGGTAGATCTTATAATATTTTTATTTTTTATCAATTTAAATATAATCTATGTTATGTAATACAGAATGAAATTTCTAAATAGATTAACACGTATATATATATATATATTTTTTTTTAATTTCAATGAAGTCATTGTTGTTTCGATGAGATTTTACTTTGTCACATAAAGAAACATATTTGTATCCAGGAGACTTGCACGTATATCAATTTATAAAATAATTTTCTATATACGTTTGTTAATGAAGAATTTGTTGTGTAAGTTTGATCTTTTTTAACAAATAATTGAATTGAAAAAACGTTATTATTAATTTATTACTGATATACATAATTGAATCCAACAAAATTTGAGCTTACTGGGACCAAAAAAATTGATATGAATTTTAAAAAAAAAAAAATACACAACGAAAAATATTCTATTTGTAACTGTTTATTTATGTTTAAATTGCTGCTAAGAATATAAACGTGCAATTATTACTATAATTTAATTTTTGAAAATCAATACACATGAAAAGTTAGCAGTTTAAAAAAACAAAATCCCATTTGACAAGCTCTCTAAACGGTCATATGTTACAAGTAATTTTAGAAAAACGTTTCCGTGTTTTCTTTCTGTCTTTTCCTTTCCAACATAATTCAAACAATTTTTTTTTACAACAGGTTATTTTTAAAGGATTTTTGTATTCATTTTCTTTGCCGAATCAATGCTCGTAGAAAGTAATTCATATATTCAAATGGACTTTTGCATGACAATAAAGAGGAACGAAGTACCGTGTTTCTCAAAGAAACGGGAAACACTTCTTTAAAGAGTGCAAACCTAACTTTGTTTTCCAGGGCAACAAAGTTAATGAGCTAACGCGAGCCTGACCTCCCTGCCAAAGAAACCGTCTGTACTGCTCGTTCGTTCTCTGAGGATTTCTGTGTCATGGCGTACAGTTTCCAGCCATTACTATTTGCGTTTCCATGTTGCGAGACGTGCGTTACTACTACAAGAATGTATCAGCATGTTTACTTCTAATCTCGCCTGTCTCTGCCAAACTTTTTCTGATGTTCAAACTATGGTCCGCGGGCTAGAATTCGATCTTCAGTGGTCCTTAACCCCCCCCCCCCCCCCCATAGTGTCTCTGCACGAGCAGCAATGTCGAAAAATATGAAACTTGATATTGAATAAAAGCATGCCCATTTTGCTGTCACGTGCTAACAGCTTATTTATTGACAAAGTTGTTCTACAATTTTTTGTTGGTTTTTTTCATTACAAATAATTTGTATGCAGTGCAATAATGCAGAGCCATGTTTAGGATTTGGGGGGCCCTAGGCATCGAGCGTATGTATGAAGGCCCTAGAAGGGGGGGACGTCTGGAGACAGAGTTCACCAGGAGCTGAGGGGAAAAAAGGCACCACCACTGCAACAGCTCCAGTCTGCCTTAGTCACTGTGTCCTATTTGATCGCATGTAACAACTATCCATGTTGATAATTCCGCCACTATAGAAAATTTTTACTTCTGAAACGTATCAGCTTGCAGGTGTAGGCTGAAATAAAAAAACGCCTGGTGGGGCCCCTTGGCAGTGGGTCTCTAGGCGTTCGCCTCAGTTGACTATGCCTAAGAACGGCTCTGGATAAGGAATTCGTTTCTATACATCTATTTCGTGTTAAAAATAAACGGTCCAAAGCAATAGCTGAGTGACAAAAAAAAGAAAGCTTCTTGTCTGAGTTAAAAAATAATGAGACTGAACAAGTGGAAAGAGAAATCCATTCATCAACGAAAAAGGTGTTGTATGTGTGTGTGTGTGTGTGTGTGTGTGTGTGTGTGTGTGTGTGCGTGTTTAATAAACTAAGCCTATTGTTAAATTAATAAATGGGCTAAGGTTCTAAATTTGTAGTAGTCCTACTGAAAGAATAATTTTCAATAAGCATGATTATTAAAATCATGATAAAAGTGTTTACAATGCTCTTAAATAAATCAAATAATGAGTTTCTGGTTTTAAGAAACGCACTTAAAAAATTCACAACCTGGTCAGAAAATACCACTACAGCATCATTGAAAAAAATTAGTAAAACAGAGTAGGGTTGAACCTGAAAAAATACACGCAACAAAACAGTGAACGTGTCGGCAGAAAGCCTTCGTCAGCGAACAAAACAACAGAAAAAACGGTATAAAAATAAGAAATAGCACTTAGCACGAAAGTAGTATCTGTGGGCAGCAATAGAAGTGTGCTGCCCACAGATACTACTTTCCAACTAAGTGCTATTTCTTATTTTTCTAAATTAGTTAAAAAATCAGATACAAGAAAGCACATCTGTTGGATAACATAAACAATAAAGACTCGCCTATAAAAATGGGAAACATAAAAAAAATACAAACCACCACATAGCCGGTGTTGTTTAATGTTAAACACAAGAGGAGTTCAGTCATATCTTAGCACTGAGTTCATACGCCTCCGAAGCCAGCAAATGCAAGACTGGGAAGATTTGCTTAGCGTTGAACAGGAGACGAGTAAATGAAGGGAATCTGTTGGCTCCTACCCTGGCATCGAGTACAGTCTACGTTAGAGTTGACTTAAACTGTATTGAAATGTGCCACGATTAATCCGAGGAACTGTGTGTTCTCACCTGGCATGTTTGTCGGTCTGACGACGATTTACTTTTTTTTTCGCAACGGTTCTCACAATATTTGTCTCGCAATGTTTTTGAATTGATTTTTTTTTGGGTTTTTTTTTTTGAGTATTTGTGGAAAAAAATCTGATAAATTTCAATGATTTTTTAAATTAATCTATTATTATTTCAGTATAAATTAAACCCTTAAACGCGTCATAGATTATTCAGTCAGGGGTATATTTTTAAAAAAAAATATTTTGATGTATCTTATTTAATTCATTCAATTCTTATATTTATTTTTTATTACTTAAAACAAAATTCATTGATTGCATTCTAAACAGAATACAAAAATGTTTATTTAAAAAAGAAGACGACAAAAAAAGCAATGGAAGCCTTTAATAGATATGTTATGTACAGTTTCCTTATCATCAGTAATAGCCGTAGAAAAAACATTTACTGGTAAAATGTCGGAGCTCTGGTCATACTTGGATGTACACATTTCAGAAACATTGCAAACAACTGTACATCGTTGAACTGTTTCTAAAATACAATAAACCTTTCACATGGTAATACATCAGAAAAGCATCACACACACACACACACACACACACACACACACACACACATTCTTCGCTTTCCTCATTGTTCACTGTCCACAATGGCGGGTATAATTAAGCGCTAATTTCTTAAAGTGAGATTGACATTTTAGTTGGTCTGCGTTAGGTCACCAAGTTAATGCAACATTTGAAGGAAAGTTAACAAAATCATACATTTAACAGAGGTACTTTTCCCTTTTTTTACATTGCATGGATATCAATATGCATGTAAGTGTCTTATTTAACTTTGCTGAACTTATCTTTTTTCTGTTTTTTGTTTGGTATTTAAAGGTAAATTTATGTTTTTATTTAACTTTTTTAACGTCCTTTCTTTTGATTCATTATGACTACAATAATTAAAACTATTACCTAACGTCTTGTGATTAAGTTTATTAGTTTCAATACGTTTTGTATGGACTAGTAAGCAAGTTGTTTCATTAGCATATCATTTACATTTTTGTTTCTGAATATTTTATTTTATATTACAGAAAACCGTGTTTTCCAAGTTACAACAGTACACTCCGAGACCATAAGGTAAAAATATAGAACATTTAATCTGCTGGATCTTGCCAAGATGATTGTGATTTACAAATCAAGAACACACATGTCCAAGATAGTCAATTATGTTTTTTTGGTAGCGATGCTTTTCGCATTTCTCTTAATTGCAGTGTCTTCCTCAAATGCATCAGTCGCCCACAACATCAACATAAAAAACGTTCGACGCCAGGCTATTGATACAACGGCTACAACAGAACGTAGAGACAAATTTAACGGTCATCATGCAAGAGATGGAGTCAATTTAGGAAAAGAAAATGCTATTGAAAGATCAACAGTTGATCAACAGAATGTATCCTACAACTTGTTTCAGAAAATTCATGCTATCAAACGCCAGGAAAATGTGTTCAGACACAAACTGCAGTTGACGAGACATAAGACAAGCGCTATACGAAGACATAGGCGGCGCCTTTTTATGCAACGCCCCGAAATCTCGGAGATCAAAGAAATGAAGAAAAAAAACAAACAAGGAAGTCTTTTATCAAAACCGCCTGGGCGTAGGCGAAACAAACTAAACAGAAACAAGAGGGCAGCAACGGCCGACAAGTCCAGGCTCTGGGAACATGCGACGATCCCGTACGTAATCAAGCCACGATTCTCGAGAAATGACAAAATGAAAATTATGAACGCCATGCGCATCTGGGAAAACGCGACGTGTGTAACTTTCAAAGAAAAAGAATTGGCTGATAAGGACTATATCGTGTTCACTGTCGAACCATGCGGCTGTTGTTCGCCCGTCGGAAGACAAGGGACTGGTGCGCAAACAATTTCCCTGCACAAACAATGCAGAGACACGATTAACATTCTGCATGAACTAGGCCACGCGATTGGATTTCATCACGAGCACTCGAGGCCCGATAGGGATCAATATGTGGATGTTATTCTAGAAAACATCATTGAGAACAAAAAATACAATTTCAATAAGCTGAAACCAGAAGAAGTGTTTTCGTTCGGGGAAGAGTATGACTTCGACAGCATCATGCACTACAACCTAGACGCTGGGGCCCGAAACGCAAACCAGGAAACAATAGTCCCCAAGCGTCTTCCTACGTCAGTCATGAAAACCAACATAGGACAACGTGCTCTTCTTAGTCGAGGAGACATTCGACAAACGAACAAGCTCTACAAGTGTGCGTCGTGTGGGCGGACGTTCCAAGAAGATAGTGCGACCTTCAGTCACAAGCCAACTGCTGGCAAATCAGAAACGTGTCACTGGCGTATACAAGCGGCCTACGGGCAGAAGATCGTGCTCAATATCACAAAGCTCGGAATTCCGAGATCGGCAGACTGCGTCAACGGTCACCTGGAGGTGAGAGACGGCCCCAACTCTGGGTCACCTCGAATCGGTCGTTTTTGTGGAGAGGATTACCCCGGTGTGTTGTATTCCTCGGGACAAAGAATGTGGCTTGAATATAAAACATTGCGCGGAGACGGCCTTGGATTTACTGCACATTACGTTACAGAATGTGGAGGTGGAATAAACAGACGGAAAGGTGTCATCGCTAGCCCGACCTATGATGATAAATACCTTCCTAATCGTAATTGCTCGTGGAATATCACAGTAGACCCGGGGAATTCAATAGATCTGACTTTTGAGTTTTTTGATTTGCAGTATGATACCAACTGCGAGAAAGATTACCTCGAAATCAGAGAAGGATCAAACGAAACGGATTCTTTGCTTGGCAAATATTGTGGGGATTTTTTGCATCCAAAAAGCATTCGATCAACAGGCAATCAAGTATTTATTAAATTTGTAAGTAATTCGGCAATTCAAAGCAGAGGATTTTTCATTTCATTTGTTCAAGATATCGACGAATGTAACAATGATATACACAAATGTGACCAGGTGTGCATCAACACCCTCGGGGGTTACAAATGTGATTGTTACTTTGGGTTCAAACTGAAATCTGATGGTACAAGCTGTGAGAAGGGTTGCGGTGGTGTGATTAACACACCCAACGGGACGATCTCATCGCCTTCATTTCCCGACATGTATCCCGCGGATACGACTTGCACGTGGACCATTGTCGCTCCAAAAAATCATTCAATTGTGCTTACGTTTACACACTTTGACCTGGAAGAGGGGACAAGTAAATGCCTTTTCGATTTCGTAATGGTGTATCGAGGGGGAGGTGCGAAAAAATATAAAAATACCAAGCACTGTGGAGCTTCGATACCCATGCCAATAACATCAAAGGGTAACACGATGAAAATTGAGTTCAAGTCTGATATAGGCGATCAGAAATCGGGGTTCTCCGCGTTTTTTGTCTCCAATATCAGTGAATGTGCGCAAACATGCAGTCAACTAGATATGACGCCTACTACGTATAAAATGTGTCAGAAGTATTTTTGTTTCTAGTTATAGACACACGCCCAAGGCCCAACACGTAGTTCATTATAAACAGATCACTTTACTTAATACAATATTTTTATTGATACAAACAGAATTACGCATGAAAGAGTTAGAAATTATGTTAATTTTTTAATGTCAATAATATGTTGTTGTAGAATAATGGTTAGACACATTTTTCTTGTAGTCCTTTAACAGTCTTTAGCTCTTATTGCGTTTTGATTTCTTGTGAAACCAATTAAAATGGTTTGCTTCAGTCTTCCAATATCAATTAAAAGTGTATTGTATAGTCAGCTTTCCCGTGTTGAAGAACTGGTTAAAGTTTCTATTAAGAATGGCAAAGTGACATGAATAGCATTGAAGCTAGAAAACATTTCCTAGACCAACATTTTTCTTCTGATCTATAATATGCCTTGAATCCCTGTATGGGAAAAGCAAAGTGTAGCACATTGGGTAACTGAGTCTACCTATGATGGATATGTATGTATGTATGTATGTATGGCATCTTTCCGTCTGCGGGAGACGATAGATTATCTTTATTGCTTGCAGCTCTTGGTGTGACTGGTGAGACCAATCCTCGAACGGCAGTCTCTGTTACATTTCCCACTCACGAATGCGGTGGAGCAGTATTTACCGGCCTTCCTTCCTCCTCGCTCTTTTTTCAGCTGTTTCCTCCCTGTTTTGATCCTCGGCATGTAGTGATCCTGCTTTCACTATATCCCGCCATGAGGATCGATCCTCTGCAAGCTCCTCGCAGTTTGAGATGTCGATGTTGGCCGACTTCATGTCTCTTTTGCATATGTCTAAGTATCTCAGACACCGCGTCCAACTGACTTTTTCCCTGTCGCCAACTCGCAGTATAGCACATCCTTTGGTATGCGACCAGATTGCATTCGCATGTCCAAGCCAGCGGAGGCGTCTTTGGATTAACATGGCTGGGACGCTACATATGTTTGTTTGGGACAGTACTTCCGTGTTAGGGACTTTGTCTTGATGGATATATCTTTGTGAAATTCATCTTTTAAAAAAAAAAAAAAAAAGAATTGTAATGTTCGAAATTTCTGTGGGTGAACCAACTGCACTGTGAATACGTCAGCAATTTCTCGTTTCTCAGTGGAACGTTGGTTCTGCTGGGATGCACACACTTTACTCTTTATTTATACAGCTGTATTAAAAATCCGCATTGCGACGTGCGTTACGTTGGAGGTCAACATTGCACAACGGTTTGCATTTGAGTCGTGACTAATCTTTAAATCGTCTAATAGGTTGAAAGTCTAAGTGATAGTCTAGACGACATTAAAAAATAAATATTTTAAAAAAAAATTATGTCGGTTGTCGAACAAACAAGGTATGATTTAAGCACGAAATAAACATATAAAAGTGTGTTCAAAGTCGTTAAACAAATAGTTGAGATTTAACGTCAAGACAAGGCAAATATGGTTAAGTTTACACAATACTACCTGCGAATTGTTTGTGTCAGTAATTAATAAAGAATTAGGGAACAACACAAGTAAACAACTCCTACTAAATAAAGTGAGTACTTCGGCTTTTTTTTTTATTTGCAATTATCGCTGCTTGTGGGACTGGTTTATTATGCATGCTGTCACGGTTTTAATTAGGTTATTTTTTAATTTTTTTTTGCCTTTGAGGCCGATAATTCAAGGGGGTTTTTAATAGTCAACGTTAATAAAACACGATTTTTTTAAATATCAATCATAAACCATAAACCTTAAATCTGGATCTACAGAAAGTATTATTAACTACTAACAAAGCAAATTGATAGATTGTATAATATTTTTATTTTTCATTGATTTAAATATGAATTATGTTATGAAATACAGAACGGCATTTCTAAATAGATCAACACGTAAATATATATAGATATATATTTTTTTTTCATTTCAAGGAAGTCATTGTTGTTTTGATGAGATTTTACTTCGTCACATAAAAAAACATATTTGTACCAAGGAGACTTGCACGTATATCAATTTATAACATAAGTGTCCATATCTGTTTTTAATGAAGAATTTGTTGTGTAAGTTTGCTCTTTTTTTGAACAAATAATTGAAAAAAAATAATATTATATTATTTCTGATATCAATAATTCAATCCAAAAAATTTGAGCTTACTGAGACAAAAAAATCGATTTAAATTTAAAAAACAAAAACAAAACCAAACAAAGAAAATACCCAAGGAAAAATATTTAAATTTGAACTGTTTATTTAAGTTGCTGCAAAGAATAAAAGAATATCAAAGTGCAATTATTACTATAATTATTTTTTTTGAAAATTAATACACGTGAAAAGTTAGCAGTTTAAGAAAATAAAAACTCTATTTGACAAGCTCTCTAAACGGTCATGTTACACGTAATTTTAGAAAAAAACATTTTCTTTTCGTTTCCAACAAAAATTAAACGATTTTTTACAGCATGTTATTTTAAAGCATATTTTTGTTAATTTTCTTTACCAAATGAATACTCTTAGAAAAAAATTCCTTTTATTCAAATAAACTTTCGCCTGACACTAAAGAGGAAAGAAGTGCCGTGTTTCTCAAAGAAATTGGAAACACTTCTTAAAAGAGTGCAAACCTAACTTTGTTTTCCAGGGCAACAAAGTTAATGAGCTAACGCGAGCCTGACCTCCCTGCCAAAGAAACCGTCTGTACAGCTCGTTCGTTCTCTGAGGATTTTTGTTTCATGGCGTACAGTTTCCAGCCATTACTTTTTGCGTTTCCATGTTGCGAGGCGTGCGTTACTACTACAAGAATGTATCAGCATGTTTACTTGTAATCTCGTCTGTCTCTCCCGAACTTTTTCTGATGTTCAAACTACGGTCCGCGGGCTAGAATTAGTTCGTCGGTGGTCCTTAACCCCCCAACGATAGTGTCTCTGCACGAGCAGCAATGTCGAAAAATATGAAACTTGATATTGAATAAAAGCATGCCCATTTCACTTTCAAGTGCTAATAGCTTTCTGTTTATTGAAAAATTTGTTCTACAATTCTTTGTTTTTTTTAGTTCATAACAAATAATTTGTATGCAGTGAAATAAGGCAGAGCCATGTTTCGGATTTGGGGAGCCCTAGGCATGGAGCGTATGTAAGGAAGCCCTTGAAGGGGGAAATCAGGGGGGCGGAGTTCCCAAGAAGCTGAGGAGAAAAAACCATCCACCACTGCAACAGCTCCATTCTGCCTTAGTCACTGTAACCTCTTTGATCGCATGTAACAACTATCCATATTTATAATTCCGCCACTATAGAAAATTTTTACTTCTGACTTCTGAAATATATCAGCTTGAAGGTGTAGGCTGAAATAAAAAAAAAACGCCCAGTGGGGCCCCCTTGGCAGTAGGTCTCTAGGCGTTCACCTCAGTTGACTATGCCTAAGAACGGCTCTGGATAGGAATTCGTTTCTATAGATCTATTGTTTGTTAAAAATAAACGGTCCAAAGCAATAGCTGAGTGACCAAAAAAAAAAATAAAGGTTTCTGGTCTATGTTAAAAAAAAAATTAGACTAAGTGTGTGTGTGCATGTGTGCGTGTGTGTGTGTGTGTTTGTTAGTGCTAAATACCTTTAGCCTATTGGTTTAATTAATAAATGTCGATTGATTCTAAATTTGTAGTAGTCCTACTAAATGAATTATTTTAAATAAGTATGATTATTAAAATCATGATAAAAGGGTTTGCAATGCTATTAAACAAATTAAATAATGAGTTGCTGGTTTTAAGAACCGCTCTAAAAAAATTAACCACCTTTTGGAAAATACAACTACAACGTCATTGAGTAAGGGGCGGTAAATCTTTCAATGAATCTAGTTATTCCGCTTAGAATGTCAGATTTCTTGCAGACGTGTTGGTACTCTGGACATCAAATCCAATACCAGTTTGTGCCTTCCATTCTCTTGTGTTCAGATTATTTCGGTCATAATGTGCGTCTTATTTTTTAACTTCCATTGGTAAGAATCTGTTGATTTTTTGTTTGTTTGTTTTTTTGTTGGCTTTTTCTTTGGTTGGTTTTTTGAGTATATGTTGAATTTGTAAACTTAAAATAAAGTTTCTGTAAAAAGAAGAGCTGTTTTTTTTTTTTCTTTTTAATGTCAGAATTATTTAAAATTAAAATTATTCTTTATACACTTCACCATCTTTTCAATTTCAGCTGTGTGCTCATCTTTCCTCGCTTTTAATTGCTCATATCTTAATGGCTAGACATGAAAGCGGCGCTTTAAAAGAAAAAGAAAATCAATGACGCAAAGCCTTAATTGTAATGTATTTCATGTTCTAACACTTGAAGTATCTGTGAAAATATTTATTTCACTCTTTATATTGTATATAGACAGACCGACAGACATATAGATGGGTAGGTAGGTATTATTTATGGATTCGTCGGGCGGTGTATGTATAAGTGTTTGGGTAGGTTGCTGGTTGGGTGGGTGGGTGGGTGTTTGGGTGGGATGGTAGTTGGGTGGATTGTTGGATGGATGGATTGATAGTTTGATAGGCTGATTTAAAACTAAATATTACTCTGCATATCGGTATTTGCACGCATTATTCACTGATTGATTTGTTCCGAATATGAACCATGAAAATATGAGAACGATTTATGGTTACGGTATTTCTAAATGAAATGTTCTTTCTTTATTTCATTTTCTTTGTTACGTAGTAACAATATTTTTGTCTAATAAATGAAGGACAATTTGAAATTGAAAAATGACTGAAACAGAACGAAAAAAAAGCTTGAAATTACATAGGGTTCTATAAATTATACAGTAAAGACATAACACAGAAAATAATGAATGAATTCAATAGTTTATTTAAAAATGCAGATACAAGAAAGAACATCTGTTGGATAATATAAACAATCCAGTCTCGCCTATAAACATGGGAAACATAAAGAAATACAAACCACCACATAGCCGGTGTTGTTAAACACAAGAGGAGTTCAGTCATGTCTTAGCACCGAGTTCATACGCCGTCGAAGCCAGCAAATGCAGCGCAGATAATGTTTGCTTAGCGTGGACATGGGGACGAGTAAAAGAAGGGGATCTGTTGGATTCTAGCCTTGCATCGAGTACAGTCTCCGTTGGAGTTAACTTAACCGGTATTGAAATGTGCCACAATTATCGCCAGGAACTGTGTGTTCTCATCTGGCATATCTGTCTGTCTGTCTGTCTGTCTGTCTGTCTCAAGATGCTTTACTTCTTTTTGCTTTCGCAACGGTTCTCACAATATTTGTCTCGCGTTTTTTTTGTACTGATTTTTTTTTTTTTAGAGTATTTCTGCAAAAAAATCAGATAAATTTCAATGATTTTTGAAAAAAATAATCTATTATTATTTCAGTATAAATTAAACCCTTAAACGCGTCATAGATTGTTCTGTCAGGGGTATATTTAAAAAAAAAAAATTTGATGTAGCTTTTTTATTTTTTTCATTTTTTGTATTTATTTTTTAATTTCTGCAAAAAAATCAGATATATTTCAATGATTTTTGAAAAAAATAATCTATTATTATTTCAGTATAAATTAAACCCTTAAACGCGTCATAGATTGTTCTGTCAGGGGTATATTTAAAAAAAAAAAAATTTGATGTAGCTTATTTAATTTATTCAATTCTTGTATTTATTTTTTTATTTCTTAAAACAAAATGGATTGATTGCATGCTAAACAGAATACAAAAATGTCAATGTAAAAAAAAGAAGTGAAAAAAGCATAGGAAGCCTTTTATAGATATGTTATGTACAGTTTCCTTATCATCAGTAATAGCCGTAGAAAAATCTTTACTGGTAATGTCGGAGCTCTGGCCATAATTTGATGTACAAATTTCAGCAACATTGCACCCAACTGAGAACCGTTGCACTATTTCTAAAATACAATTAAACTTTCACAGGGTTAAGCATCAGAAAAATATCACACAGACACACACACAAAAACACACGCACACACAGACACATTCTTCGCTTTCCTCATTGTTGAACTTCGCCATTGGCGGAGCGCTGTTCTCAATGGCATGGACAATTAAGCGCTAATTTCTTAAAGTGAGGTTGGCATTTTAATTGGTCGGCGTTAGGTCACAAAGTTAATGCAGCCTTTGAAGAAAAGTTGACAAAATCATACGTTCAACAGAAGTACTTTTCAATTTTTTTACATTGCATGGATTTCAATGTGCATGTAAGTAACTTATTTAACTTTGCTGAACTTATAGTTTTTTTTTTTTTTTGTTAGGTATTTAAAGGTAAATTTATGTTTATATTTTAACTTTTTAAAATTCCTTTCTTTTGATTTATTACAACAAAAAAAAAAATTAAATTTATTACCTAACGTCTTGTGATTACGTGTATTAGCTTCAATACGTTTTGTATGGACTAGTAAGCAAGTTGTTTCATTAGCATATCATTTACATTTTGGTTTTTGAATTTTTTTTTTTTTATATTACAGATAACCGTGTTTTCCAAGTTACAACAGAACACTCCGAGACCTTAAGCTAAAAATAAAAAAATTAATCTGCTGGATATGGCCAAGATGACTGTGCTTTCCTTATCAAGAACACACTTGTCCAAGATAATAATAATAATAATAATAGGGTTCATTTCAAAAACACGCTTCATCCCCAAAGGCTCGAAGCGCGGTACAAAGTCAACAAAAAACATATCTATAATTTACCACATTTAAAGCAAACGCAACACGACAAAAACTAATTACAAGCATACAATGGCTAAGTCTTTCTAGCCATTTCAACCCTGAACAACACAGTCATTATGCATTAACTGGAAAATAAGGTAGACAATCATCCCAGAAGGTGTTTGCGAAATAGATGTGACTTAGGTTTTTTTTGGTAGCGTTGCTTTTCGCATTTCT